CCGATGCCCCTGCCGTGTAAAAGGGATCTATGACAAAAGGTTAGCAAGGTCGTTGTCTGGATGGATGGGGCACTGACTGAATAAAATGAAAAGGTTGGGCCAGATGTTTCATTTTAGTGCCTAATGAAATCTAGTCAATTGTGAATCATTGAACATTGACCTTTTCTTCTAAGAAACTCAGTTTATGAGGTGGGCAGGAGAGTTGTGTCGAAAAAGTATTTGGGGTCATTTAGGGAGTGAGGTGGTACCAAACACGTGCCTTACAGGAGTAATTTGCCTAACAACCTGATTAGACTGAGGGAGCAAAGCAAAAGTCTCATTTAGGAAGTGGTTTTAAATGTCTTGAATAAATCTTTGTTCCTTTAGAGTGGGTGAGGTGCCAATCTGAGCTTGGAAATATATAACGCAATTTAATAACTACATTTTGTAGATTTGACATTGGGAAGGCATCTCACCACTTTAATTCAACATCTTCATTTGCCAGGCATTGAGGTAGACACTGGAGATATACCCATAGAAACTGATGCCACCCCTCATTACTTTGTACTAGTTGAATAAAATATTCTTTTTTTAAAAAAATACATTTTTATTGATACTTTTTGTTTTTACTTCCCCTATGTTTCCCATTGTATCCTCCCATCCCCAAACCAAATGGGGAAAAAAAAAATTTGGTTAGCAAAACTACCCAACATTGTAAGTCTGACTCAATACAATGTTCTACGTCTGTAGTCCCTCAGCTTCCCAAAGAGTGAGGAGGTGACAAAGAATGCATCTTCTTTGGGCTCAAGTTTGGCCATTAATTGCACAACATTCGGTTTGGATTGTTTTGTTGTTCCTTCCATTTCTGTCGTAGTCAGTGTATATTGTTTTCCTGGTTCTGCTTACTTCAGATTGCCTTGGCTCATATAAGTTTTTATGTACTTCTCCATATTCATCATTTCTTACAGCACAGCAATTAAATAAGGTGAAGCTTAGGACTTAAGCTATATTCTGGATTATTTTGCACACTTCGTACATAATTAAACACATTTATATGGCACTTTTTTAGTTTAGCCAAGCATTTTGTTGACAGCAGCCAAGTGAGGCCGGTAGTGTGTAAGCCTTGTTCTGCTGGCTTTCCAGATTCAGCTTGCCTGGACTTACAACAACCCAGAAGCCTACAAGACAGTATTGGCCTCTGAGAAGATCCAGGTGCTCTGACCCCAGGCCCATTGTTCTTTCCACTGTGGCGCATTAGTCACTAATATGTGCAAATCACAAGCATTCATGACTAATAAAAAGAACTGGGATATTTGTGCTGGTTATTGGTTGTTTTTAATGATCCTGTAAGGGTGAAAAAGTCAGGTTTATGAAGTTGTTTACCAAAAGAATATCTAATGTTCCTATGGCCAATTTTAGTGTTGCCTGGCTTTAAAAAAAAAAAATCAGTGTTCTCTCTGGTTAGCTAATAAAATTTACTGGCATTTGAAACCCTGTACTCCAGTGCCAAAATACTCCTAAAGAAAATCCTTTAAAAAGGTTAAGACCTATGGCTGGGCATTTTTCACTGATAAAGAATGGGACCGAGATATAGAGGGAAGTTAGGTATCTTATACTTAGAAAATGAATATTATATACTTGTGTGGACCTGGGCTTATTTGATTTGAGCACAAATTCATTCAACTAACATTTCTGGTAAATGCCTACCGAGTGACTGAAAGACAATGTTAAGGATGCCAGTAGTTCTTTCTATATGGGTCAGTTAACTTGGTAGAGGGAAAAGCTCTGTGACCACAGACTGCACCCCTTATTCATAACAGAGTGAGAGATTCTGCATGACTCCCTCAATGCAACTCATCCCTGCTGTGGAGACAATTCATGATGCTTTGGGTACTCTCCTAATTGTCTTTCACTACTATGGATTGAGAATACTGGAATCAGAGGCCATTTATTAAGCACCTACTGTGTGCCAGGCTATGTGTAGGGCACTGGAGCTACAAATACAAAAAACAGTCCAGCATTATGTTCTGTTGGAGAAACACCACATGCATGAGCTGTCTGTAGCCTACACATATCTATATATTGCACATACATTCATACAAAGTAAACAGAAGTTAATTTCTCCAGGGGGGGAGGAGCTCTGAGAAGGCTTCATTATCTAGGGGATGAATTTTGAAGGAAGCTAAGGCTTGTAAGAGGCAGAAGTAAAGAGACAATGCATTGGAGAGATTGGGGATGACCTGAGCATTATATTATTAAGGTACAGTCAGAGGCCTGTCGTGAGTGAAGGGCAGCAAGTAGTACTGCAGTGTACAAAGGGAAGTCGTGTGTAGTAGGGCCGGAAATGCAAGTTCTTTGGGCTGGAATCATGCAGCTCATGCACATTCCAAAGCATCTAACAGTTCCAGGTTCCCTCCAGGGCCTAGGCATCCAGTTTGGTCTCAGACTTGAAGACTGGTCCCAGGAGCCAGACGGGCTTCTGTTGCCAAAAATAGGGGTAGCAACAGGGAGCCATGAGCGATTTTTGAATAGAGGAGTGACATGGCCAGACATGTGCATTAGGAACATCACTTTGGCAGCTGGGGGAGAATAGGTTAGAAAATGTCAGGGAGTCCAGTTAGGCTATTGAGTAGTCTAGGGGAGAGACTGAGTGGCTGAAATATAGCTGTGGGAGTGGAGAGGAGGAGGCAGCGGGGAGAGGGAGAGTGCACAAAGTCAAAAAGACCAGGCATTTGACTGGATATGTTGGGGGAGGGCAGTGCCATCGCCCAGGGATGACTCTGATGTGGTGAAGCTAGGTGCCTGGAGAGTTTGTAGGGCCATGGTCAGACAGAGCAAAGTTAGGAAGAGGAATGGGTTTGGGTCTTTTTAAGTGACCAAGAACCCTTTTCAGGGGTTTCTCCTTGCCCCTTTCTTCATTGTAAAACAGGAAGCCTCTGTCTCTCCACAGAAAGTGACAGTTCAGAAGAAACATGATTCTGCTCCTCATGGTCCATTACATCAGGAGAACCTGCAGTTCTGCTGGCAGTAATTTCAGACATCTAAGCACCTTCCGTGTGCAGGGCAGCACTAATGAATTCAAAGGCCCTCCTAATGAGAAGATTACATTCAATTAGTGGATATGACATGTGCATAGTAAAGTGAATACAAGGTCATTTGAGGAGGGAGAAGTCAGGTACCATTGGAAGGGAGGATTCAGGAACAGGGAGCACCTGACCTGATCTTTGAAGGAAGACGAGTGAGTCCATTGTAGGAATGAGTGTCAGCTTCTGGGAATGCCTGGAGATGGGAAATGGAACGTTCCTCAGACTAACTATTCATTCTTACTGATGGTACAGAGGGGTTTCTGATGACATTGTAGCCCGGTGCAGTTTTCTGAAATTAAGGGTATTAGAGGTCTGAGTGACATGACATATAATATAACTGATATTAATACAAATGATCTAGTAATGAAGAAACACTGAGAACCCTTATCCGGTACCCTAAACGGGTGGTCTGTTAGCACTGCCTTGGTTATGACATTTCACCTTTTTTTTCCTGGATTGTGTCTGTACTTTTTCGATGACTGTAAAAGTAGCATTTCGCACTGAAAGGAAACAGAAGTTCCAGATTACTAATTTTTCTAAGTTTCAATTAACATAGTGTCAGGAAAGTAATAACTAGTGTTCCTTAAAGCCCTTCACATCCTTCTTCCCAGTGGAATAACAGAGGATTATGGTTCTAATTATTTACTGATTGGCATTTCTCTAGAGAAAATGGAAAAATTATGTAGGGAAAAGAAAATGCCATGTGGTATTTCTTTTTTTTCCTATTCATTTCCCTTTTCTATAGTAAGCAGCTTTGGGCATGAGCTTCATAAGTTGTGTGTGTTTCTGTTCAGCCCTGCACCCCTATAAGTACCATGAGAAAATAATACATATAAAGATTACAGGGTCTTGGCTGCCCCCAAGAAAATTCAACCTGTTCATGCTTGTTTTAGTACGGGCTATAAAAGTAATTTATGCTTGAGGTTTTATTTGTTTTTTAACATATACTGATGTGATGGAGCTGAGTGGAAATTTTAATCAAGAGATAATAGTACCTTGTGGGTTAAGTTTACCAGGGCAATTATGTCATGATAACAGATTTGTTTGAAAGCACCCATTTCAAACAGACAGCACTTCTTGGATTAATAAGCAGGTTTTTGGTAATTTGTATTTCTTGTATGTTCCCAGA